TGTGCTAAGTGCCTTTCCCAAGGACACAACGTCGGGCCCCTGACGGGATTCGAACCCACGACCTTACGGTTGCGAGTCCGAGAGCCTAACCACTAGGCCACCGACGCCACAAATCTAGCAACATAATATTGGTTGAGCACAATGCAGTTTTTATGAAGAATCAAGGAGTAGCTCGAAATGGAAAGAAACAACAAATGCGTCATCTATTATTACATTTTGGGCCAATCACAGAGGTGTGCTTAGTGCTCTCTGCAGCTTCATGTAATTGAATTTCATTTGTGAAGTTGGAGTTTGTAAGGTTACCTTCCCCGGTGAATGTTTGCTATGAACAGTAAAGAACGCTTCAGTCTAGATCTAGAAATGTGCTGGAAAGAATAATCTTTAATCTATATAAGTAACAAGTCTAATTCAACCGTCATGTAAAAAAGATACAATATGTAAGATAAGATAAGATAAGATAAGATAAGATAAGATAGTACTTTATTATCCCAGAGGGAAATTTTTCTTGGCTGTACAGGACCATAAAAACACATGTAGGTATACATAAAAAAATAAATTATCTCACTAAAATGTAATAGGAAAAGAGAAGTAAAGCTGACGAAAATGTACATTTCACACCAGATGCCTCATTCAACCACACGCAGGAATTTACATACAATAATAAGACCTTTGGAGTTATATAGATACATACTCTAAAGAGCAATATACACACATCTAGGCTTATTCTGACAATAACCTCGTGCTAGATGGTAAAAAAAACCCTGCTTTTATATCTTTCTTTCTTTGTTTTTAGAGGTACATATCTGCCGCTACTTGATATGACAATTTGCGTGGAAAGGGGGTGTGATGGGTCGTTTATAAAGCTTTTTATTACAGTTCTTACAATTTTACAAGACAGCCAAAAAACTGAATGTTGTTACCAATAATAAAACATTTGCTTTAAAGATAATAATATGGAAAATACGATCTTAATTGTATTCTTTAAAAAAATATTGACTTCGGATGTTTCCGAAGACTTTGTTTTCTTTGTGACAACATTCAGTTTTTTTGTGCTCTCCTGTAAAATTGTAAAAACTGCATACACTGTAATTTATGAAAATGATGACAGGACTATAGAATTAGGCAGCAGCCAAAATAATATGCCCATGTAAAGCACGCAAAATGACGGTGGATATCTTCCTGCAAGGGTGTGTTGACCAAACACACCCAAAATCCAATATGTGTTACGTCGCAGTGGACTCTGAGTTTTTGGGCACGTGGAGTTATTGGTATCATCTTAAAGTTTGTTAATTTGTCTATCTTTCAATGAAAGAAATACCCCTCTATCTCGAATAGAAGTGCAGATATTTGCAGTTGAAAAAGGTGGCGGGGTCACCTGGTTTCAGCGGTAAAGTAAGCGAGAAAATGGCCACCGAAGTAAGGCAACTTTAACAGCTTGAGAGTCCTTGAAAACTGAAAATTAATATATTTTGTGTCTTTAATTTTAATCAACGTTTTTCGGCAGCATTCATATGGAAATGTGATTTAATATGGAAAGAAAAGGTCATAATCCAAAAAACACACACAAAAAACCAGCTAAAATTTTTTTTAAATTTTAGAAAAATGCCTGTTTCTTTGATTTCATTATTTTGACGAGTGCCTGGTTTCCCCACGATGCCTCACATATACACTTAACGGTAGTCTGTCTGAAGCGATAGTTTTTGCAGAATGGCAGCAACTGTTCGTCTGATCGATTTTGCTCCAATTTTAGCAGAACCCAATCCGACCGTCCAAGATCAAATGTGTGTTTGTCTTTCTGGTTCAATGGCATCCACGTATAGCAACAGCCAGTTATAAGGAGAACTCAAAGAATGCAGAAAAAGATTAAATGTTGACCTTATGAGTTCAATAAGCAGAAAAAAGCGCCGTGATATGCAATGACATCACTTGACATTAATAGTCACAGGCGAAGGCGCAAGGTACCGATTAACATTTTTTATTGTTGCTGATGCTTGGTCGCCAAACTTCTCCAGCAAATTTCAGAGTAACTAGTAGTAGAATATTGAACCATTTAACACTGTCTCTGTACAAGATGACCTTGACACAGTTCGCATTATTGTCGACCTTCCAGCAAGGTTCCGCTCAGGGGTGTCTCTTTGCCAGCACTTATGTCATCCCAATCTGGCCACACTAAAGTTTTCACCCTGTCTTTGTATTGAACAAGAGATGGGAAGCGAGCTGTGGAGGAAGAGAAGGATGGAAATGTTATCCCTGGTTTCTTTGGCCCCAGAGTGGGGGTGACGGAGGGAGGGTGGGTGAAAAATGTTAGGCAGCCAATATCGTGGGATAAGAACCTTTTTTTCCTACACGAAGAGCAATCTGTTATTTTCCATTCAAAGCAAAGTAAAAAAGAAAAAAAGCCAGGTTCAGAAAATGATGGACGTGCAGTTCTCTCTGATGGAACTTTGCTGGACTGCGAAGCAGGTGGCCCAGGATCGAATCCCCAGTGGAGGTATTCTTGAACTTGGATAGTTTGAGGAGTCTTAAAGCTCTTAACCCATTACATTTTAGCTCGGTCCTATCGGAGATGGACCTTAAGTTTGGAGGTCTTACTGTGTAGAAAGGAGATTTAACATTTTGTGGTCACTTGGCGCAATAGTGTGCGGTGGAAATTATCCTATGTGCCAGGCCCGAGACGTCTGTTCCAGTCACTCTCTTGGCTGGGTGACCAGAGGGAGTATTTTGAACTGCTGACACTGTGACTGCAAAGTGTTAAATCTATACTACCATGCCATTCCCACATAAATAACAAAATCAAAGGAAGACCTGACTTAAAATCTAGCTCCTTTCCGTTCTTGAAAAAAAGACATTTTTGGAGAGAAAGAAGACAATAGTCATAATAATTTTTTTACTATGTAAGGTATTCTTACCTTCAACGAGTCCATCGAAAAATTCGTCTTTCTGGTGGTAGATGAGCTGGCAGAGAAAGCCAAACACGCAACAGTCGACCTCAGTGATCTCATCACCCATCATGAACTTCTTGTCTCCTGAGAAGAAGGAACGAGATAATAGTAAAATTATGTTCATTGTCACCACCACCACCACCATCATCATCATCATCATCATCATCATCATCATCATCATCATCATCATCATCACCATCATCACCATCATCACCATCATCATCATCATCATCATCATCATCATCATCATCATCATCATCATCATCATCATCATCATCATTCTTCATCATCATCACCATCATCATCATCATCATCATCATTATCACCATCATCAGCACCATCATCATCATCATCATCATCATCATCATCATCATCATCATCATCATCATCACCATCATCAGCACCATCATCATCATCACCATCGTCATCATCATCACCATCATCACCATCATCATCATCATCATCATCAAAACAAGAAGAAGCAATAAATGAAATACAGTCCACTTCTCCACTTCGCTTGTGTTGAACTCACTTGAGTTGATCTTCGGTTAAGTTGATCTTTTTCTCGGTTCCTAGCAGCACCTCTTCTACATTACAGATCCCAAAGGTTTAGTTGAACTTCAGATGAGTTGATCTATTTCCACTCCCCCGACAACATCAACTCATCCGTAGTCAACTGCAATAACTCAACCAACAGATATATCTTTTTTTTTTAGTAGAGGGTTTTACGGCGCTCGCAACAGCATAAAGTCATATGTAGCGATCTGATCAAACTCACCCAGAAAATCCGTTAGCGCCTGCAGATCTTCCAGGACGAAACTTTTCACCTCCGGTCGGCTGTGTCGACTCATTCCCTGCCCCCAAGCCTGATTTCCAAGATTCCTGACCACGAGCCACAGCACAATAGGGGACTTGACGAACATCTTGACCAGTTTCCTTTCTGGATCCCACAACCATCGTAAGCACACAAGAGCCCTGGGGGGAGAAAGTATTTTTAAATATGATTTTAAAAGTTTGATACAAAGCTGTTAGGTCGTTTGGACATTTGGAATCATGAGAGGCGTAGAAACGCAGGTTTTAAAAATACCCTGCAGATAGAGCTATGTTCGCTATCCTAATCTATGATGAGGCACCCACGCACGAATGCAAACACGCATGCATACAAACACGTGTGCACGCACCCATACACACAGTCACACTGAAAAACTTACTGACTCAAATGAAAGTAAAAGTAAAGTACACGTTATAGCCCCCAATAGGAAAACCCTGACCTCGTGTGAAACATTTGAGATCACTGTGAGGAATACAATGGGGTAGCAGTATGCCTTACAGGAACAGGAAAAGGGGCTGTGATCGTTTTTATGCGCGGAGATGTGGAGGTTATACCTTGCCCATACGAAAACAAAAAATATACCCCCCCCCACACACACATATCCATATAT